CAAGACAAAATACATCAATAAGGAAAGGCGAGTGCAAAAGCATCACAATGGGCTGAATCATCCCAACTAGGTTGACACAAAAAAGCTCATCCTATTATTTGCTAACACCACCAAAGTTGGTGAGCAACCAACCAAAGAAACAGAAAACAAAAAACAGCCACCAAGAGCATATTCACCCCCCCAAACATTAGTGCAGCAGTGCAGACTCAACAAGACCATTTCATAAACAAAAAACAGCCACCAAATGCCCCAGTCCAGAACTAACTCCCATTGCAACAATTCAAATGCTGCTGCATAACCAGATCACACAAAAGCTGCATATTATAAACCAAATCTCATTTCACAATGACATATAGAGCCTCAAAGTCAACACACCAGGTTCAGCTCACAAATAACAGATAGAACAAACAAGATCATACACACATAACAGATAGAACACTAACTACACCAGATCATACACACATAACAGATCATACACACCAACTACACCAGAACACCAGCAGAGCATAGTGCAGATTCACCCCCCCCTCCCCAAACATTACCAAACATTATTGCAGCAGTGCAGACTCAACAAGACCATTCCACATTCAAAAAAAGGCACCAACAAGACTAGTTCACATTCAGAAATAGGCATCCTTACACACAACCACCAGACCTGGGAGCAAATCCTACACAGAAGCTGCATATTATAAAACCAGATCTCATTTCACAATGACACATAAAGCTTCGAAAGTCAGCACACTAGCACCAAACCAGTGCAGCAACCCAGTGAGCAACACCAGCACAGAGCAGACCAAAAACAGATCAAGTTTTTACAATGTACTCCATGAAATCAGAAGAGAGTTAACAGATCAAGCAACAACAGGTTCAGCTCACAGAGACAATCCCAGAAACAGGACAGATGTAACAGATAGAACAAACATGCCTTACACAAGCTCATGCACCATTTCTGCTGCACAACAAATAAGCCCAACAACAAATAAGCCCATAGCTAGGCAACCAACAGCAGCATACTCTGTTCCACCCAGTAGGTGGTTAGCTCGGCTCCCATTCCTAATACAGTATTGAACCTGAGGCAAATTGAAGACTACATCATTAATAGAGAACTCCATTTTGGCTGGGGAGGATTGGGTCCACAAAGCAATTCGTGCTTTGACAACCTCACATAGTTTCTCCAAATTTGGCTGGGAACCATTAAAAACACAATCATTTCTATGCTTCCATGTAGACCACAAAACAGCCAAAGGCACAACCTTTCACAGCAGCTTCTCAGTATTTTCCATTTTGCAAAACGACCACCATTGCAGCAGCCCTTCCACTGAGTTTGGCATAGCCCACTGAAAACCCCACCATTTCATAATATTAGACCATAGCAGCCAAACAAATGGACACAAGAGCAAGATATGATTGACAGATTCCTCCTCATTTTGACAAAAAACACAGCCCACATTGGCAGATGCAGCTAATATCCCGATTCTCTGTAAGAAGCTAGGGGTTTTCACCTTGCCTTGCCAAGCCAACCACCCGAAAAATTTGACTTTAGGAGAGGCACAATTATTCCAAACTACCACTGCCATACTCCTAATAGGACCCAAGAAGTATTCATAATTTTTATACACTGATGCAACAGAAAACAAACCAGATGGGTCAGCCTTCCACTTCTAAGCATCTTGTTTGGTGACCCTCATTGCTGGAGCATTCATAAGGAAAGAATGAAGTCTCCTAACCTCCTCCTCTTCCCAGGCCAGCAGAGCTCTCCTAAATTCCAGATTCCAAACCTAAAACCCTCCACTCCTGATATAAAAGTTAGACACTACTCCTATTTTATCATTGGACAACGAAAAAAAAGTCTGGGGAACTCCTCCTTAAGGCTTAGCTCCCCAGCCCATTTATCCAGCCAGAAAAAAGCTCTCCTACCATTCCCCAACTCAATGACTGAGTTTGCCACGTACAGATTGTGTAACATAGGAGTAGATATAATTGCACCAATGATATCAGCCAAATTTTAGAGTTTCTGTTGTTTCCTTCCATACATGGCAACCATCTTCCACCCCCCATATTATACTTAGAGCATAGAACATCCTTCCACAAAGTATGATGCTCTGACCCAAACCTCCACCACCATTTCAGCAATAAACAATTATTCATAACTGTGATACTTCTGATCCCTAAACCTCCCAAATGTTTACTCTTGGTAACGGTATCCCATCTAACCATGTGAACTTTCCTTCTGAGGCCGGATCCCCCCCAAAGAAAGTTTGCTTGAATCTTCTCAATTGCTTTAGCCACCCCCACAGGTATTTTGAATAAAGACGAGCAATAGATAGGCAAGTTACTCATGACAGACTTAATAAGTGCCAGCCTCCCCGCAAACGAAAGCAGCCTTCTCTTCCATGTAGATAACTTTTGTTTAAACTTGTCCAAGACTGGCTTCCAAGTGCTTAACCTACCAGGATTAGCTCCTAGAGGTAGACCTAGGTACTTAAAAGGTAACCTCTGATGGGCACAATTTAGTCTAGAGGCAAAACTCTACAGCAACACTTTATCCACTCCAATGCCCGCAATCACACTCTTATGGTAGTTAATTTTCAGCCCCGATAGGATTTCAAAACATCTCAAAATGTGTTTGATGGACACCACTTCCACCCACTCAGCTTCACAAAACAGTATTGTATCATCTGCAAATTGCAGATGCGTTACTGTGATTCCATTATTCCCAATGGCAGCCCCTTTTATCAAACCCATTTCCTTGGCCCTAGCAAATAAGATATTCAACCCCTCGGCCACAATATTGAAGAGGAAATGGGACAATGGGTCACCTTGCTGAAGACCTCTCTGTGGACAAAATTCCACAGTAGGTGAACCATTCACTAAAACTGACACTTTTGTGGATGTTACACAACTTTTCATCCATCTCACCCATCTATCGCCAAAACCAAAATTAGATAACATATTAAACAGGAATTCCCAGTTGACTGAATCATATGCCTTCTCAAAGTCTAATTTCAACACCAAACCTTTCTTGTTTGATTTTCTCCACCCATCAACTATGTTATTAGCAATGAGAATCCCATCCAGGATATTCCTTCCCCCAAGAAATGCGGATTGAGTCTCACTAATAATCTTTGGCATCACTTGTTTCATCCTATTGGCTAAGACTTTAGCCAAAATTTTGTACATGGATCCAATGAGGCTTATTGGCCTATAATCCCTCAAGCTTGAAGGGCTGTCGACTTTTGGGATTAGAGCTATAAAAGAGCTATTTAAACACCAAAAGAGGCATTTTGATGAAATTCTCTTAAAAATTGCATTACCTCAGGTTTGACTACTCCCCAACATTTCTTATAAAATGCCAAATTAAAACCATCAGGTCCAGGTGCTTTATTACCATCACTGTTCTTGATAACAGAACTGACTTCCTCTTCAGTAAAATCTGCTTCCAACAGCTCCGATGCTTGACGACCTCCAATATTTTTAAACCTCAAATAATTCTTAGCAAAACTAAACACTCAAATAACATTGATAGTGAATTTTATTACTGATAATAAGATTCCTATTCTACGCAAGATACATGTCATCCAAACATAGCAAAAGAAATCCTAACAATCAATAAAAGAACATACATCCTAACAATTCAAATTTTCATCCTCTTGTTCAAATGCATCACACCAGCCAAGTCATTTATCCAATTGCTTTAAACATCTCTACATACATAGTGTCCTACATCAACATGTTAATTCTACATAATTTAAAGAAGAAAATATCCTCAAAAAGCTCACATATGGTCTTAAAGTTAAAAAGAGAATTTTTTTTTGAACATTTGAACATTTCATAAACCACAGACAAACCTCAAAAATGAACATTTAACCATAAGCAAAATACCAAGTCACAAAGGCATCCCTCAACACAACTGTCCAACACTACATAAACCACAAAGTAACCAATTAAAACAGCAACAACACTAGGAATCAGAAAAAGTACTCGGAAAATTATCTTAAAAAGTGCATCTATGGAGCACAAAATATGACCCACATCTCACCAATTTTAAATCTACACCATCCACCTCATTCTCAATAAGCAATTTAATGGAAAATATCATTTTGCTTAAAACAGAGCACCATATACATATACTTCTCTATCCACCACATTACATACTATTCCACACACCTGCCAACTAAACTAAAGCCTGTTTCATTATGTTTTCGTTTTCATTTTATTTTTTGCATTTTTAGAAACAAAAACTAATGAAAGGTTCAAAATATCCATCGTTTCCACTCTGTGCAAAAACATATTTTGAAAATTTGAAAATAAATTTTTGATGTTTTCTTAAAAGTGGTTTTTAAAAATTCCCCAAAACATGTTTCTGAAAATTGCTGGCAAAACAATATATATATATATATTTTGTATTCTCCAAAAAAAAATGCAACCAAAGCTTACTGCAGTTCTTGACCTAATGGGCTTGAGCAATCCTAAAACAGATTGAAAATGATTATGAAGACGAAGAAAAATACATATCTATATGCATTCAATAAATGGCATAGCATTTTATAATTCAGATAAAAATAAAATAAAATTGTTGTTTATATTTAATAAAACTAGGGTTAGCAGATAATTATCATAAACAGGTGATAAGGTTTAACAAAGTGTTTAAGACATTATCTATAAGTTCTTTTGACTTGAAACATTATCTATAAAGTTGATTAGGGGGTGCTTCTCAGCTTTCTGCTTATGAGAGAAACTGTCTTTAATTGAAAATCTACTTGCATATCCCTCATCTTTCTCAAATATTACCATCATGGCCCTAAATCACCCCCCCCCCCCCCCCCCCCCCACTCATTTCTCTTTCCACTCTCAAACACTTACAGCTAATAAAGGCATAAATGACAATTACATAACAAAAATGTTACTTTACAAGTTAAACAAACACTACCCTGTAAGTTAAATCTATAATCCAACCATTTTGTACCAAATGTGTTAAAAGCTTCTGCTCAAAATTATAATCTATAATATGTTAAGCTATATATAATCTATAATATGTTCTAACATATGTACAAAACAAACCCTATGCACAGTTATGCTATATGTAATGCATTTCTACAAAAACACCCCCCAAAAGGATATGTTGCTGCTTCAAGTTTTGTCCTTTAAAACAACATCACATAATATGTTTAAGCTTTGGCAAAAATATACATTGTTTTACTATGATATAGAAGGCTATTCTTTACCTCTGATCACCCCATTTGAAGCTTTCTCATTCTTCATTATCATATGGAACAATGTAGCTCTATCTTCCTCCACTATCTCCCTCAATATATCGTCTTCAATCTTCTCTGCTTGCCACTGAGAAGGATCCTCCACAAGCTCCTCACTGAATATCATGCTTGAAACCCGCTCCTTCCACGTTGTTCTACTGTACTTCTCTTCTTCCAAACTTCCAGCAGCCAATAGCTGATACACATACACCACTTTCACTTGACCAGGCCTAAAAGCCCGTGCTATAGCTTGCTTTCTCTTGGAGGGATTCCACCCCGAGTCCAATAAGATCACCCGTGACGCTGCAGTCAAACTAATGCCCTCGGCACAAGCTGTGATCGAAGCTAGCATTACTTTTGAGGGCCCTCCCGGTTCCTCAAACTTGTCCATTATCCTTCCACGTTCAAAAAGTTCAATGTCCCCTTGAAGCACCAAAACTTCTTCACCTTTTCGCCACCCATAGAATGACTCGAATATGTCTAGGAATAGATTGATCGGAGCGAGATTGTGGCAAAAGATCAGGATCTTCTCCCTCCTGATGATGCATCGAGGCACGAGGCTCATGATGAATCTCACTTTTGAACCCGACTTGAGGTCAAGCTTGTATTTCTCAAGACAATTCAACTCTTCCGCGCTGAAATATTTACTGGAGGACGCTGTAGTTCGGATCAACCAAGGATGTATCGATGCAAGAGTAATCAGAAGCTCCATTTCCAATGGAAATCCTTTGTACAAAGGTCTTTCACCCTGAAGTTTTGTCAGCAGCTCTTGTTGGGAAGGTGTTGACTTCATCATTATAGTGTAACATTGTAAACCGGGAAGGTTGTCGGAGCTTCCACCTTCGTATACATCTATAAATCCACTTGTCAAATTCTTCAACATATTCAAACCCTCCATTCTTTTTTCCTCTACGCCCGAATCAATCTTCTTTGCAATTTTATGGACGAAAAATTTTCTTGCTCTATTTTCTAGTAAAAAGTGTGTTTTTGTGCTTCTCTTCCTCCTCTTAAACTTTTTTGGGTCTAATTTCCTCAACACCTCACTGACAAAACTCGGTCTTGCCAAAGTGAGGGTGTTGAAATACTCCTTAAAATTATTCTGAAACAACGTGCCCGAGAGCAAAATTCTCAACCCCGTCTCAACTTTCATCAAAGCCTTCCTCAGCCTCGATTTAGTGCTTCTCGGGTTGTGCCCCTCGTCAAGTATAAGAATCCCAGGACTTTGCCGCAACACTTTTCCCAAATATTTTTTGTGAGCAAATTTTGAATCTTCTCGGGTCAATGTTAGAAAAGAGGTATAACCCATTAGAAGTACACTCGGATGTATGAGCCACTTCTCAATTTTCTCCATGCAGTCTAAAAGGTGCATAACATCTTGGTTGGCCTTCAGAGCTTCTGGAGATGATCTCAATTTCTGCCTCAAGTGTTCGTCTCTGTAGGTTCCAAGACCGTGGATCTGATAAACCGGAATAGGAATTTCCCACTTATTCACTTCTTTGTACCAAGTACAGAGTGTTGTTTTTGGAGCGAGGACTAGAGGTCGTGATCTGGGGAATAACTTCAAGTAGCTCACAAGGAATGCAATGATAAGCAAAGTTTTGCCTGCCCCAGGAGAGTGAGAAATAACACAACCCCCTCTTTTCTCAACCATTTGTTCCATAAGTTCGGGTACCAAAGAACCAGCAACGTTACGCCAAAGAAATTCAAATGCTCGCTTTTGATGGAAGTGTAATTTCCTTTTAAGATCGGGTATTAAAGCCCACACATTGTCTTCCCTCTCCAATAAGGGCATGTTGGAGGCAGCAGCGACACCAAAAAGATCGAGCCCCATACCTTCATCCGCCTTATGCTCTGAATCTTCTTCATTGAGTGAATGGTTGATTGGAATCAAACTCCTGGTTTGAAACTACATAATTAAAGAAGAAAGGACTAATGAGGATGACTTATATTGCATTAGATGAAACCTTAGAAATTAGAACAAAGGTACAAGTCACAAAGCAGGGGTACAAAGTAGGATCCTAACACCTATTGGACCAACTATGAGATAAAGGATTTTAGCCTGTATACCTCTGGTTGTTTACACATTGTCAAGTACACATTCAAATAAAAGAAAAATCTAACTGTAGAATCACTTATTTGGGTTGTTAGAACCTGGTTTTACGGACTGGCATATTGGGATTTCAGAATTCCGATACCGATATATTGGCTAATACTGTCCAATGTTGACCAATATATGACTGTATCACAAACATTGATACGTATCTCAACACTGTTATTTAAAACAATACTTGGGACATTCCATTTTGTGCTTGCATATTCAGCTTATGAAACACGACTAGGATGTCTAGGGAGATCGGTAATGAACCTAGAGCTAGAAGGATTCTAACAAAAGCATGAGTTATCTATGAAATACTTTGGTCTCTCGAATTCACTTGACTTACAAAGGTTGGCGAGACATCTTTTATTTCAGTGCTCACAAAGCCACATAGTTGGCATAGAATTCCAATTTCTTCATTGAGTTCGTACTCATGCTGGCAAACTTGTCCACAGTGTCCACTTGTATTTTGCTCAACCTCAACAGGGACTTCAACATTGGAACCCTGAAAAAGCATTCCATGAGACAAATCAGGAATCAAATATACAATCCAATAAGAACGAAAAATTACAAAATTTAATGCCCTTATATTATCAAGACTCTAAAGTTCCATCTCAAAGTATAAAATTATGCATTTGACTATGTAGTTTAGCTCTTGAACTTATACCCAAATAAGATTATGAAAAAAAGAAAAAAAAAAGAGATAAAAATCATACCTTGCTATCATCAAGAAGATAGGTTGATGCCATGGAAAATTCCATTTCCTCCCACATGTCAATTTCCGAGTCTTCTTCCTCGTCCAATAAGGGCATGTTGCTAATATCCCCTAGGTTCAAGAAATTTTCTGCCTGGATTTCTTTCCACAGATCAATAACTAGTGGTTGTTCCTTCTTGATTGTGGATTTTATGTTCTCCATACATGTCCTTATCATTTCTTTGCACATACTCGGACTAAAGGATCTCTTTCTGTTAGTTCCATCATTATGAAAAATCCTCCGGTCTAAACATGTAGAATAATCCATTTTTCTTTGGAATTTCTTATGTGAACCTTTCCACTCCCATCTACCTTCAACCTTTTCACCAATATCTTCTGAATAAGTGTCAGGAATCTGAGCATCATGAGGATCCTCTTTGTCATGGACCATCTGATCAGTCTCAACAAGCACAGGAACACAAACACGAACACTAGCATGTTCAGATTGATGTTTTCTTTGATCAGCAAGTTGCTGTTGATGTTCTCTTTGTTTGGATACAACCCATTTCACCTCCTTTGATGATTTGATCTTAATTTGGCATGCAAGACGATTCTCAAAGGAATCTTTTTTACGTGAAACCCTTTCATCACTTTCATCATACTTCGCTCCGTTTGTTTTGCATATCCCTGTTTGAGCCACCTCAATATCTGACTCCGACAAATCACCACAACCCAAGTAACGATCTGGCTGTACACATCGACGCTTGGATCGCCGCAAGCCCATTAAATCATAAAATGGCAATGGTTCCTCTTCATCAATCTCACAATCAATTCCCTTCTCAAGAATATCAGATAGAGTAAACGGGACAACAATGGGGCCTGATCTTTCGTTCTCTAATTTGAAATTTACAGCACTTAAATCATCACCCAAAATCTGATAGACAATCCTGTTTTGTATTGATCTGACATCAAATTCAACTTTCTTCACAACAGATGCAACAAGTAGCCATGAAAGATCAGATGAGAACTTTCCCGTTAACAATTTATATTTTTGCAGTGAAGAGAAGTTGTCCTCGGAGAAGTCCCAACGGTAGTGCTCATTTTCACAAGGGTTCTTTTGAAGATTTTGAAGGATGGACATTTGATCAATTTGCACTGTGATTGTATCTTTGCTAAGCTTTTTCTTGCTCATGCCAAGGGGGTCTTGTGTAACATAGAACCTAACATAAAATTGGCAAGTACATTTAGGCTCATGAGGCTTCCTCTCAATAGAATTTACTTGAGCGTCTAACCAGACCTACATCAGGGGAAAAAAAGTATTTAAGGTTAATAATCTTAAAATCCGGCATATACCCTTCTGAAAGAATTGTTGAAAGAATCATTTTATGTGGGAAAGAAGTACAAAAATAGGAACATGTAACATCACAAGTATCATTAATCATTATATGATTGCACACCAAACCAAAAACTACAAAAGAGTATCGACAAAAACAGGGGACTTTCAAACTACAGAATTCATCAAACATATGAAGTATAGCAGCAAAACAGATAAAAACGCACGGTTTTGCAGCTTCAGATAAAATAAATGGCGACTTACTGATTCCATATTTTTCTCTTCACTTGAACTTTCTGTAAGTTGAGAGGTCGAAAGAACACAAACGTCAAGTCCAGGCCTTAAAAAGATGCAATCTGACCAATTTGCTTTTCTTGATCTTACTCGAAGGTTTGGTACAGAAACATTTTCTTCAAACACATCTCCACCATCTACTACAAGCATAGTTATAGACCCGGCCCTTATTCGTATGCACGCCACAGATTTCCACGAGCCGTGATAAAATGCCTCAAAAGCTGTCAGATGGCATATCGATAATAACTATAAATCAGAAACATTTCAAATACAAATTATCTAACAAAGATTTAGTGGCACTTCTAAGTTAAAGCTGCATGAAATAAGTCCATTTAGTTTCGCCTAGCAGTTGAAAAGTCTTTTGCTGTGTTGAAAAAAAAAAAAAAAAATCCTTTTTTTTTCTTCGAACCAAATGAAATAGAGTCATTTAAGGAATAAAAGTTATAACCTAGGCTCTATGTTTTATGTTATACTATCAATTCTATCATTTATTTCAAGATGATGTTGAAAATTGAAATTAACCAGAAACATAAGTGAAAAGCTCAAAAAAAATCTTTTAAAGTGAACCATACCTCACAAGTAATTAATTCAGTTTGGCTCAATTTAGAAACCTTGTCATATTGAAAATCACTTTCATCTGACCAAACGAATCTATTTTGTGGGTTATTTTAAGAATTGGTTAAGCTAGCATCTGGAAAATAAGATTTACATGAGTAATCCAATAGCATGCGTGCTTCAATTCTTGCCAAGTTGAAAAATGACATTTTTGGGACATAACCAAGAACTCTACTAAATTACAAGAAGAGTATAAATATTCTAACAAATCAAATATTGTATGTAGAAAAGGCATAAAGATTTTGATTTTCTGGTCTGACCAATCAAGAAAATTATTTGATAAATGACTAAATCAATTTCAGACCTAATAAATTCAAGTAAGTTTGGAACGGGTAGTGCCAGGACACGAGAAGCAAAATCTATCAAGGATTTCGACTAGGGATAATTCCTAATTACTTTAAAAATCAACAAAACTTGGACAAAATTGTTCACATTTCATCACCAATCAGCTAGGAAGCATAGATACGGACACGACACGATATGGATACGGCGATACGACAAAACCTAAAAAAATAGAACACCGGTACGGCTAGGATACGTTTGTGAAAAATATATTTTTTAAAATTATTAATAGTGAGTTACACATAAGCTAAAGAAGAAATCACAATGTAATTTTATAATGCAAAATACTAACCTTTAAGAATTTTGTATTAATTTAAGCTAGTTGCTTGTTTACTTTTTAAATTTTTAATAAGTCTTGCAAATATTTCATTTCAATATCAAGTTTAATATGTTTATATTACAATAATAGAACAATTCACAACTTGTCCCATACTATTTCCTTTGACACTAGTGAAAAATATTGCATTCAAGTTTACTTGCTTATTTATTTATTGATATTTAATTTTACCATTGTTATATTTTCTTGTTAATTCTTACTTTCTATGTAGTTATAGGGGACATGCATGAAATAATTAGGATATATCAATTTGATAAATTCTATTATTTAACTTACTATGCTCTTCTTATCGAAAAACTTAAAAAAATATTCTTATATTTATACTTGCAATTATATTATATTATATTACTATGCAAGAAATGTTACAATTCTAATTTCATAAAACAAGTAAACATGACTTGGAGTATCTGATACTTCAAAATTAAGTATCCAATACTCCAAATATATGAAAAAATAATTAAGAAGTATCCGATACTTTTAATAAGTATCCGATACGTATCCGTAAGTATCCAAGGAGTATCGGTATCCGATACGATACAGATACGTCACCCTATTTGAAGTATATGTGCTTCATAGCCAATCAGCAAAAGTAAGGGCAAAAAAAAAAGTGCGAGGAAAGGAAAGACAGGGAGTTTCATGCTTACGACACGCATCAAATGGATTTTGACAAATATTCCTTTTCCTTCTGCTCATGACTACCTAACCAGTGGAGCTCAATCTTCCTGATACTTGCAGCAAGATATTTCTTTACCTGCAATCACACAAAAAACGATTCCCAAATATAGTTTTGAAAACCCCTCAAAACAATAGTACATGCACCACAAGTACCATAGCAGTAAGGGTTGGTAACTTATGTCTAATGAAATAATAACAATAATAAATAAACCAAAAACCAAAAAAGTTTTCCTGATTCAAAATGATTCAAAATGCTAATTATATAACTTTATATATGGCAGCTGGGAATGGGTGCAATCTCACTCGTTTTCCTGATTCTGTTTCCCTACTCACAAACAGAGACAAAAAAGTTTAGGTTACTACGAACAATCATATATATCCATCCATTCACATTTTGATATCCAAGAGTGTATTAGCTCACTCAAGTTTCCAATAAAGCCATGGAGAAAAAGAGAACTATACCAGAACTGAGGCTGGTTAGGTAAAGAATTTGCAGACATGTATGCATAGTAATCAAAAAAATAGTAACAATAATGCTACAGAGCCACAAAAGTAGCCCCCAAGAGTAGTTTAAAAAATGAAATGTATGGATCAAATGCATTATGGTTGTCGCCCACGTCAAATTAAATTTGAATCTACACCACACTCTGCAGAGTTCATGTTCTGGCTACTTTTTGGGCGTTGGCCCAGTAAAGGAGCCCAAAACAGTACCAAAAATATTAATTGTGTGTATGCGATTCATTTTGATTGGTAGTTAGATGCAAAATATGTTATAAAATAAATAAAAAAGTAACAACAGGGTTGTTTAGTGCTACTTAAATGTATCAAACTGGTGCAACTTTGTAAGCAAAATTTACTTAAATAAACTGGGAATAAAATTGATTATTTGAAAATTAAGAAATGAGTGCTTTTAGTTTTTGTTTTATAATTATCAGCTTTCAACTTACAAAGAGGCTAAAGTTGCACCAAACAGGCAAAGTTATGTAGTCAAAAAATTAAAGTGAAAAATAAAGTATGTGCACCAAATTCATTTTGACTATGGTTCGTGTCACATTAAATATGAATCTTCATTACAGTTAATTTTCTAACCACTTTTTTAGCCAAAAAAAATTATATCAAAAGCAGTCAAAAATATGTGGGAAAGGCTATCACGTGTGGTATGTATCTTTTACAAAATGTACTAACTTTCTGCATCTCAGAAAAAAATATAATTTTTTACTTATCATAAAAAATAATAAAAAATTGCCAAAAACACATAACTTTACTATTATAATTTAGGTTACACATCATAACCTTGTGATTCATAATTTCCACTATAAAAATTCGTAAACCAAAATATGTGATATGAACCAAATTACTTGTTCGTGAGTATGACAACACCAAATTTAAATCTCACTTACTTTACCAACCAGGAAATGGTAGTACCAAATTTTCTATTAAATAAATGATCAAATATTTCATATGGTGTGAGGTCACACCTTAGACATTTTAATCCATCATTTGATAAAAAATTTGAGACTTATAGCATTTTTCATACCAACTCTCCTAACTTTTTGCCAAAATGTAAAAGTTACTTTGGGTAATAAATGACGTGATATTACAAACCCACCTTTTCAACTAAAAAATTACCTAGAACTTTTATCTTGTGCTTGCACAAATTAATATCTACCACATAATCATACACTCAAAATAAAATTTTTTGGGTAGACACCCAAAAATTTCTCAATTTAAAAAATTCTTAGCTGCCGATAGGATAGGGTACCATGTGACATGGTGCCTTTAACTAATCACAAACATTATAATCTCTCATGTTGTCACCTCATTACCCGCCACATAAATATAGTACCCACCCTCTCAATTAATGAGAAAAGAAAAAGGTACCACACACATGGCACCTGCCCTATTTGCACCCAAAAATTTCTCAGTCGGTAGACATTTCCTATATAACGTACTTACATCAAAACAAAAACCCCAGAAGAATAAAGACGAACTTACCAAAATTGAGATACTTAAAGTCAAAAGCCAGGACGATTAATGCAAGGTGAAATGTTAGTCACTCACAGAGATTTTCCTGGAAAAGAAAAGGACAAAAAACGAAAAAACAGACTACAGAACTTTTCCAGGAAAATCCAAGAAAATGCAGAGCGGAAAACATACACTTGACTTGAAGCAATTCGTCCTACAAGCGGCTCAAGTGAGTAGGAATGTGGGTCATATTCCAGCGAACTGTGCAGATGGATGTCAGATTCCGGCGAATTGTAGCCGGAGATGTGATATCGAAGAAGCTTTTACACTAGACTTAAAAGGATAGTGACAGGAAAACAAAAAAAAACAAAGAAAAAGGAAATTTGATTGATGACTGTGTACACCAGTCTCGATGAAAGAAACAAATTATCGATAAGTTAAAGTAATCTTCTCAAATATCTTGTTAGAGCATCTCGAAGGGGTTTTTTTTTTTATATATATATATTAGATTTAAGTAAAGATTTGAATTAAAAATTTTCACAATGTTTGGGTTGAGTGATTTGGAGAGAAAATAAAAGAAGTGAAGAGATTTGTATTTCTTTTATTTATTTAGATAATTTAAGTGGGGAGAAATGGAGAGAAATAGAGAGAAACCATTTCTCTTATAATTCTCCTTTTCAATCTTCTTAAAAGTGGAGAGATTAGGAGGAAAAAAAATGAACATATTCTTATATTTTCATAATATTAATTTTGTTCCTGTAAAATAAAAGAAATAAAATGATTAACAAAATATAAAAAGATTATTTTAGTAATATTACATAAAACAGTTTATTTCATTTTCTCTTATGAAATCTAACCAAACAAGAATGAGAAAAATCATAATCATTTTTTTTTTATTCCTTATTTATCCAAACAAAAAAGGAAGAAATCACAACCCTTTCATTTCTTTTATTTTAACTTATAACTTAAATAATCATTTCTTTTTTTTTTCTTTTCTCTCCTAGATTCCCAAACATAGTTCTCACATCAACCGTTCTAACGTTAAATTTTTAATTTTCATCAAAACAATTTGTTGATCGGAAGGATCTCAGGGTAGTTCAATTGATCTAGTGTAAATTTTCTTCAAATCATCCATCCAATTGTTTGGCCGATCATCTACCAACGATTCTCTCTAAGATTTGATGAAATATTAAACGCTCTATTAATTTGATTAAAAAATTAGAACATCCTTTATTTAATATCAATTTGATAAAAAAGTTAAAATATCATTTTCACTAAATTTTTATTAAATTTAACTTTAATAAAAGATTTGAGTTGGATTGGAAATGGTGTTAGTGATTACATTTTGAGAAAAATAAAAGCAAATATTTTATTAATATATTCCGCTAAAATTGGAGGTGAACAAATTTTTGCTTGGGTTTAATCTTATATTGGGGAGTGACTTTTTATTTATTTAGGCTTATTTTGTGAAGCAGGTTAAAAGTTAATTTTTAAATTTTTATTTTATTTTTTTCAAAAAAATATGTAAAAAATTAGAAATATGACGTGACTTGAAAAAATTAACAAATCAGCTTTTAACTCAGTTATCAAAATAGTTTATTGGATTATTATATATTAAAAAAAACTTGCAAAAATATAAAAAATAATAATGTGAGATAAATAAGCCAATAAATTAATAAATTATTTTTTTTGGGACCTTTTTAGAAGAGTTCTAAGAATTAAACCAATTTAAATCAAATCAAATCATAAAAAATTTAGAATCAAAGAAAATCCGATCATTAATTGTGATTTGATTTAGTTTGGGGTTATAATTTTTAAAGGTGTTATTGCGCACAATATTATCACAAAATATTATTTATAATTCAATAATTATTTAGATTGAATATGCATTGGACATCATATACAATCTTTACATAAAATTCTATAAATTTTTAGAAATTTAAATAAAAAATCTTACAAAAATGTGTAAGTTCAACATAAATTTATGTAATCACATAAGTTTTTATAAATTTGCTCAAATTTGTAAAAATTTAAATGATATATGTAAGATTACATACTCTGTATATTACCCACCGAAATATTTTTCAACAATTGTTTAAAATTAGTTTATCACTCCGTAAAAGCACACCTGCAAAAGTAGTAGATTATAATTCAATGATTTTTTTAAAAAAAAAATTTAGGACAAAATGTATAAAAGAATAAAAAAGGCACTCAAGCTAAAATTCTAAATTTCAATTTTGTTTGGCGATCAGAAATTTTATTTTGACACACTTAATTATTTCAGTACATATTTTTTCTTAATACATACATTTATTAATTTGATTATTAATTAATTTTCTCAATCCGCACACTAAAAGTTACAATTATACCTTTCACTTATAATCATTGTACACACACCACTCAACCCTCCTTCTACACAGTTGTTAAGCGACTATTCTTCTAGATTTGTAAACTCATTGTAAACCCACGTGAAGACTATTCAAGACCACACCCTCGTGTGTTTTTTTTTTATTTATGTTTTTCAATTTGTGGATTTCGGCACTAGTTTTCCGAAATTATATATTTAATTCGAAACTTAACATCTGAATAAAAGTGATTAGTTTAACAAATTTGTTCTTAAAAAAAAATTCAGCAGTTGATATCCAAATATAATGAAATAATTTGACAGTTCATGTTTGAATATAATGAAGTAATTCGACATTGGTTGTCCGACTGAAAACCGCAAAAGGGAAAAAAAAAATTGTTATGCACGGAAAAATTAGCTGTGTTTGGAACGATTTCCAAACTATGATTCTATCCCCACATTCCAATATGATGTTTGGATAGTATTCTCAAATCACATTTCCACAACATTTAGAAAACCCTGTGTGGGGAGCAATTTAAAAAAAAAAAAAAATCAAATTTGGCCTAACCGGTCGTCCCACCGAATGTCGTACCGAACGTCCCACCGGTCATCTGACCGATTGACCGGAACAGTGCAAAATTTTTATTTTTATATTTTTTGCAATTGACATATGTTAATTTTTATATATTCGAAAAAATATTTTCCGGATTTTTAAAAAAAAATTATGTGCTTTAATAGAATTTTGAGTTGTATGTTTAGTCATGAGTTATAAGTTTTTGTATCAAATATCATATATCACATCAAAAATTTTCCACTCAATTCAAAACTCTTTTACCAAACAAATTTTTCACTCAAATCATAATTTCAAAACTCACAAACTCAAAATACAACTCCTACTCTCAAATCATATTTAGAAAGCTCTACCAAACGTAACTAAACTAACATTTTCATCACTAATAGAGTATAAATCTAGATATTAAAATAATATGAGAGTATTACTTTGCAAGCAATAGAGGAGTATAGAGTGTGTAGTAAGCAGAGTGATAACAATGGAAAAATTAGGATTTCGTTTTGTTTTACTCAAAAGGTGTACATTGAATTTTTTTTTTTTTTTTTTTAAAGATATGTATAAAGAATATTTTCATATAATATTATGGGTGTTAGTGGATGTCCATTATGGTCATTTTAGTTTAGTATAATTGCCATTAAAATAATATTTTATTAAGTGTGTGCACTGAGATAATTAGGTGTAGGGCTAAGCAAGGAATTCGTAAAATCCGTAATCTG